GACAGCCAAACCCTCCATGAGGGCTGAGGACCACAGATCCGTGAAGACGATCAGATGTCCAGAGAGTCACGGCGCCTTGACTTTCCTCTGTAGAGACAGATTCTCCCAGAGGGCTGAGGGCTGCCTGTGGCTGTGTCCTTTGTTCCGCATGACAATGGGGGCAGAGCAGGTCTCTAAGCAAACGCTGAGCAACGCCTTCCTGTGTGTGCTGCTCTGCCCTGGACATAGGTGGAACTGGATTTATTTAAGGAAGTGATTTTTGATCATGATGAAAGTACAGAGAATGGGGGAGAAAGAGAGAGCTAAACTGTGTATGTATGCTCAGAAAGATAGGATACTTTAATAAGTTAGTTTCTTGATACCTGTGTTACCTAAATTGAGCAAAAGGTCTTCACAGATGTAAATTAAGAATATTAAGATGGGGAGACCATCTGGATTAACCACATTAGCTCTAAATGCAGTCACAAGTGTCTTCGTAAGAGAGGCTGAGAGATGTTCAACACAGAAGAGAAGGCAATGTGACCACAGAGACAGAGACTGGAGTGACGTGACCACCGCCAAGGTAAGCTGCAGCCACCAGAGGCTGGAAGAGGCAAGAACAGAGAGGGAAATGCCATTCTCTCCCTGTGTGTTTCCTGTAGCTACATAACAAATCTCCACATCCTTGTTGGATTCAAACAGCATCAGTTTATTCTTTTACAATTCTGGAAGGAAGAAATCTCACACAGGTCTCACTGGGTTAAATGAAGGTCTCACTGGGTTAAAATCAATCTTCCCTATGGATGCTGTGGGAAAGAACTTTTTCCCGGCCTTTTCCAGCTTTTAGAAGCTGCTGTCTTTCCCGGACCCTGGACTTTCTCTCACATCATTAAGCAACTTCCTCCCTTGCCAAATCTTGTCCCCAGATCTGAGCCTCCTGCCTCAGTTTTGTAAGAACACTGGTGATTACATGTGACCCATCTAGATAATCTTCCCATCTCAAGATTTTTAGCTTAATCACATCTGCCAAGTTTCTTTTGCCACATAAGACAACATTCGTGGGTTCCACAGATTAGGGCATGAACATCTTTTTTTTTTTTCCCTTAGGGGAAAAGGGGAATGCTTTACTCACACTATCAACCATTCTTGTTAGCCCCAAACTCTCCTTCCCTAAACGAGAATCCAAAATCACAGGACTGAGAGAAGGGTAGAACGTGAGCAGCCAACAGCTATATAGTGAGAGAGCTGGAGGGATCTGAGTCAGGGCCCCCTGGTCTGGGAGTTCCTTGGGCTGGAGGATTCTGCTGCTGCTGCAGCTGCTCTAATGTGGACCTCACATGTGTAGCTATTTGTTAGACGCTCTTCTTATTTGTGATCCAGAAGAAAATAATTGCTACTTAATTGCAATCTAAATGAGATTGGGAAAGGAAAATTAATTTTTTTCTTGACTGTCTGCATTTCTCTACCCATAAAAAAAGAAATGGCTAGAATTTAGAGAAAGATTCCTCCACACATGAGAATGTGCCTATTGTCTTAAGTTGGGTCTTGCAACAACAAGTATTCTCGTGCTGACAACATATTTACAAAGCACAGGAAACCCTGGGAGGGAAGGGGGAAAGTGAGGCAGGGAAGACATGAACAGTGAAAAGCTTGTCAACAAGTCGCTGCCCATATGGACCACTAAAACTCATTCCAATGTCAAAAAACATGAAGAACCTCTGGGCTATTCTACTGAGAGGTGAGGGATCTGGGGTATGTATATACCTCGTTTAGTCACCACAGATTGAGGGCTGTCCTAAGGGATCCTCATCCCAGGCCCTGAGCTCTGACATGCATGAAGTCAGAGCTGCCTTGTGTTGTTCAGGGAGAGCAGTGAGGGGCAGATATCATCAAGGGAAGTCAGCAGAAATGCAGAAGAGGGTAAAGACAACTATTGCTACATCCACTCAAAAAATAGGTGTATGTTAAATCTGGAGGGTCCATGTGGGCTACATCTCTCTGAAATGCAAGAAGTTGCCCTAGCAAATCAGGCTCCATGACAGGCAGCAGGGACTTTGTGCACAGGCTGCACCGCCATTGCTTGGCTACCTGTAGTCGTGCATGCACTTATACTCCCCATAGTCCCCAGGCTCCCAGGCACTGACACTGAAGGCATTGCTGGTTCCAGTACCCCTGGACTGGGATGCCTAGGACCAAGGTAATGACATGAGATGTAAGGGGTTCAAGTCTTTGTCCAAGTTTTTTACAGATCCAAGATATTTCTCCACGTACATTGTTGCTGGCTTAGCAGGAGAAAAAAACTCTCTGTCCTGTATGTGCTGACAAACAGGCAGACTCCTGGGTCAGGATGATTTCCCCACTCACTGAAAAGAGTAAAAGAAGAAAGTGGCATTGATGGTGAAAAGCAGGAACATGCACCCAGCTTTAGCTGCCCTCACTGAGGAGAGAGGATCACTAACCTAGCCTTTTCCCCATGGACTCCCCCTCCCTGCTCTCCAACATGCCAGGCCCCAGGGGAGCTGCTTCTGAGCCACCAGGAACATGCTGGGGGGTAGTGCTCAAAGCCTGGATAGTGCTTGAGGTATCGGGCTTTATAGAGACTAAGATTCAGGGAAAGTCATGAGGTGGGCATATAAAAAAAAAGAGGCACCAAGGGAAGGACTCGCTACACGTATGCTGTTGTTGGGTTTTGACCTAAGATTGGGGCCAGTACCCTTGTAAAGAAATCAGCAATATTTAGAAGAAAACTTTTCTATCCTTTTACAATGACCAGAGCTCTACCTGGAGGGAAAGGCAAGAAGAAGCACATCTCTTGTGATACTTAAGTTCATGGTCAGCCTGGAATCAGACTAGGCATTAGTTCAATACTGCAGAGAAGATTGACTGTCCGGAAGTTGGGGAACCCTTCAGATTAGGAGGGATGTTAGTACAGTTGTTATAAACTTCAGTAATTACTGTTTTTTCCTTTAGACCATGGACTCTGGTGTCTCACTTTTGAGACTCCCCTCAAACATCCTGGGATGAAGCTTACTTCATGCAGGCTGATCCATGCATCCTCCTTGCAGGGCCTCTCAGCCATTGCTTTTGGGGTTAAATGGAGCCATCATTGAAGGTGAATCCCAACTTGTATGGTAGATAGTGGTGGCCACTAATGAAATGGGGCTTCCTAGCTGAGAATCCAACTCAGGTCCCTTGGCTCTTTGATAAATGGTTTCCATGCTTGGATCCTAAGGTGGAGGCCACAGTTCTGAGTTTTAAGTCCTTTCTTCCTACACCAACATCCTTTCACAGGAATCACTCTGGCCTCCTCCATGCTGAGAATTCACACCCACCCTCCTGCTACCCTCCCAAGAATCCAACACTAACTGTCTGAAAACTTTTCTTTGTAAACCCTCCAAATGCAACCTCTGCCAGGGACATGGCTGGAGCATCAGCATCTTCCCGTCAAAAAACACTGAAAAGGAAGGGAAACCTGCAAACACCCTGGTGGTGTTGAGGAGATGCATATAATCCTTAGATTTTGTGTCTTTTTGAACATTTTTGTCTATTTCTTAACCATGGTTTTATTTTCATGATCTTGCAGAGAGAATAATTGAATATAAGAAGGGTTCTTTTATATTTAGAATATAAAAATAGAAATGAAGACAGGAAGAGAATGGAATTTGTAAACTCTTCAAAGTGGTTTGGGTTTCTCTAGCCAGGGATGCAGCAGGACCAAGAAGCCAGGAGAGGACATCACTTACTATGTTTCCTGCCCTTCATGCTTCAGACTCCCACAAAAGCACACACATGATAAAGCCTGCCTTCTTCTAAAGAGCAGCTCTATGGCCCAGCCATGCTCTTTTACTGAGTATCTTTTCTGAGTAAATGGAAATAATGGAAATGAATGATAGCAATGGCTTAAGCAAAGAAGTCCAAAGGTTGGAGCTTTTCAAGTTGGTGAAGCAACTAGACAATAGCAGAAAGGCCCCAGGTTCTTTCTCTGTTTCTACTTTGCACCTCACTACATTGGGTTTTCAGATGTAGGCTCAGTACCTCGTGGTCTTAAGATGGCTGCAGCAGCTCTAAGAATCAGGTCCTCTCATCATGATTCCTAGAGAAAATGCAGGCCAAGGCTCTTCATCTTCCTTCTTTTTATAAGGGATCAAAATGCTTCCCAGAATCTCTGCTCATTCCTCACTCCCCTGACATCTTATTGTGGAGCTGATCTCATGTCCCCAAAATTTCTGCTCCTGTCCTGGGCTGGGAGAAAGTTACTGTCTTTCCCATGCACAGCAGGACATAGTTGGTGCCCAAGAAACCAAAGGAGGAAGATGGCTGCTAGGCAGGAGACCAAAACCTTAACATATTTAAATTTTGTCTTGTGTCTAAGTTAACCTGGATGGAGCAGAGAGATACCAATGTTCTCTGAATCTGGTGGTGTTGGAACAAGCCAAGCTCTAAGGGTGACAATGAAGTAAAATTTCTAATTCTCCAGATGACTATGTTAGCTTCAGCAGTTGTGGAAATGTGGCTTGGGAATTGAAGGCCAGGACAGACTTTCAAGTACCGGAATAAATGAGAGAGAGATCTGCAATAGTGATGTAGGGGACAGTGGTTATGGAAGAAGGAGGAAAGCTGTGTGCTAATGTTGGCTGTACCACCTCCCACCTGAATGCAGCCTTCCCTGTGCTGGTCACATCCACATTTCAGTCTCATGCAGACCCCTCTGTTTACATGCCTGCAAGGGCTATTTCTGCTCCCATCCACCCTGTGGCTTTCTATCATGAATACGTACCTACTTACACTTGAACCCTCTGGTATTGCTAATATCAACAGCAATGAGATAACACCTAATGGAATGCAAAAGTTCCCTTTGGATATAGCAGCATGCTCACCTCTACCCAAAAGTTAAAAAAGACTCGAATCTGTTCAGTCCAATACCATCTAGGAAAAACTGACCTTCCCTCATGAGCCACAAGTCAGTCTGGATATCATTTAATCGGTGGTCTGAATTATGCAGGTGACAAAAACAGCTCTTTGTATTAAAAGAATTTTAATGAAGGGACAGTTGAGAAAAAAATATTTAACATATGTAAATGTGTGCATGCCTCCCTCAGATTTTATGAATCAGTTTTCTCTATATTCCTTTTATCCCCTGACCTCCAGCAGGATGTTCATGGTCGTTTCTGTAGAGGCTAACTCTCACGTCTTTGGCATTCGGGGTCCCAGATGTGATGAAGGTTCTGCACATGAGATGTGCCCCCGCAGTGTGGTTTTCAGAAGTTGATGAGGGGAGGGGAGATGCCTTCCAGAGGGGCTCATTTTCCTGGTCTGGGTCCTGGCCAGGCAGCACTGACCTGTGGGCACAGCATCCTGCCTCACAAGTTTTCTGTCACAATCAGAGGATTTTTCTGCATAGAAACACAGAGAAAGGGGGAAGTGAAATGAATGCCTCTGCCCACTCCTCTACTCTTTCCATCTGGTTTAGTTCACCTAATCCATGACAGTAAACACGAGTTTGCTTCACCAGCCCTAATGGCTTCTCTTGTATCCGATTCCTTCAATGACAGAAGAAGGAAAAAGGAATGAGTGGACTGGCTCCTGTACTTCTCTACTATGAAGCTGACCTAGAGGATGTAGCTGATGTTCACATCTCCCAAGCTCACTGTGCATTTCTTCTCCCCTCTGCTGCACTAGCGTGCAAGTGCATGTGATGCTTCAGCTGTGTTACTCAAAGCTTTGCTCTGAAGTCTGTTGAAGTTTCTCTTCACTTTTACCAGTGGAAATGGCAGTAAATGGAAACATTCCTGGCTTGTCATGGTGGCTCATGCCTGTAATCCCATAACTTTGGGAAACTGAGGCAGGTGGATCACCTGAGGTCAGGAGTTTGATACCAGCCTGGCCAACATGGTGAAATCCTGTCTCCACTAAAAATACAAAAACAACAACAAAAAAAAATTAGCCAGATGTGGTGGCAGGTGCCTGTAATCCCAGCTACTTGGGAGGCTGAGGCAGGAGAATTGCTTGAACCCTGGAAGAGGAGGTTTCAGTGAGCCAAGATTGCACTATTGCACTCCAGCCTAAGCAACAAAAGTGAAACTCTGTCTCAAAAAAAAAAAAAAAATTCCTGAAGCTCCTCTAGATTCCACATGTTCTCTACTTCCTCTCTAAAATATGTAGAAGGAAACCTATTTCCCCTTGATTATCAGGATCTATGACCCCAGCCCACACCATAAGACCCTTCGTTGATAGTTTATTTTACATTTTAATGAGAACTAAATAGCCACGTGTTCATCGTTTCTTCCAATTTAATGCAGCAACTTATTAAGCTAACCCATTGGATCAAGAACTGTCAACCAGAAAACCCCAGACCTGAGTGAACAGAAAGAGAACTTTTCAATCTGCTCTGTAGGTATAACAAATAGTGATGGGCTCACCCCTCATCTCTCAGATACCCCTATTCTATTGATGGGACTAACAGTACTGTTATGCACATTGGTGTTTTGGGGCCTCCACCACATCTGGTAAGACAGTGATTTGATATTACAAGGGTTTGAGTGTTAGCTTCACCTGCCTAGTAATGGGTTTTCTCCTTTCTGTAATGATAGCTGCCCCTGTGCACATGACAACATCATGAACCCACTTTGCCTCACTTTTTTTTTTTTGCTATAATAAAGTTACTTTTTCCAGTGATAAATTATGTAAGGATTTCTTGACTTGAAAGCACTTGAAAAACTTTCAAGTAATGATTCTAGCAGAAACATGGCTGATAAGAAAGGCAAACACATATACAGGAAAACAACCACTGCCCTCCACGTGTTGGGTTTGGTCCACTGTACTCACTCGATATCAGCTGTTAGTCTGATCTCAGTTGTGTGCTACAGTGGTAGGGTTTCAAGAAGGGTCATGGTTTTTGGCAAGTCAGATACTCAGATGTGCCAATAGCCCTGTGAGCCTCATTAAATGAAATTCGGATGCATGAATCTCCATGGCATCAGTTCATGAGATTCCCTGGGAAAGCTGAGAAAGGAGTCTGACTGAGGTCCATGTGTTGGAACACCTTAATTATTAAGAGTTCCCCACTAGGTAATGGCATTTAGATGAGTATTCACTTGGGTAACATTTATTTTTTATCTTGGCCCATTTTGAAAGGTCCAGTCATGGCTCTTCTAAACCAATTTTTTCTCCAGTCCTTAAATTTTGTTTCTTCTGATATCTAATGACCTGTGCAAATTAATAATGGATGTCATTGCATTGCCAGTCTCTCTTTGCAAAGTAGCCAGTGACATACCCTTGGTGTTAACTCACTATTGTGATTTCCAGTCTTCCAGGGCATCCTTGACGATGGCAGGGGTGTGACATTGGTCTAGCGCCCAAATGAGAACTCTGTCCCACATAGCATCATTGTGGACATGCATATAATGGGGACTTCCATAGGATGCAATGATTAATTTTTAACATTAGGCAAAATTACTCTCATTCATATTCCTTACCCCTCCACTAAAATAAAAAGATATTTTAAGGTACACATACTCATTTGGTGAGTGTTAGAAATAAAGATTACAAAGGAATTTCCTGTAGCCAGAGAAGGTAGCATACATAGTTTTGGACATCTGTTTTCTCATGGGGAGTAACTGGAATCATCTTAACAGATTAAATTTATATAATAATTTCATACATATGCATGTGTTGCTTATATACATATAAACATATTTAAATAGCCTTATGTATATGTATTCATGTGTGTACATGAGGCTATTTAAATTTGTTTATGTGCATAAGTATTATGCGTACATAATACTATGTCCACACGAATATGTGTACATAGTATTTACTATAAGCTATTTACATATGTTTATATGTATATAAGTATTAGGTGTACATAGTATTATGTACATAGTATTTACAGCTAACAATTTATCAAATAAATATATATGGATTAGTATATATGTTATATACACTCAAATATGTGCATTTTCTATAAATTACATATATATTACTGTTTTATTGATACGTTATTCAATATATTTGATACAGTGACAACATTTTTAAATTTCATCTTAGTATCTTTAAAAATAGATTAATAAATACTCATATTTTTGCACCAGAGAATCCCATCTCTAGTATCTGCTTCATGAAGAGCATATGCCAGGCTTTGCAAGGCTGTAGTTTAGACTTTAATTCATTCAGTTAAAACAATTCCTGCTTGGAATGTGTGGCTTGCATTTTACTGTAAGAATTTCAATTTCCCCATAACATAGACTCCTCAGGGAGACTAATCTCCTTTCTTTACTAAATCTGAAGAGACATTGCCTTGAGAGGAAACAAACTTAGGGTGGAGAGACACCTTCATGGCCTGCTCTTCCATAATCTCCCAATAACCTTCAAAACTCTGGCTGAGTCTGACAAGTGTTATCAGCAGGTGGCTGCACAAAGAAGAGCAGCTGGGGCAGCCCAGCCTCAACTGTCTGCTGTCCTGGGGGGTTATTGTTATGATTTGTAACACTGTGAGAGGGTAACTGCTATACTGTTGACAGTAATAAGTAGCAACATCTTCAGGCTGCAGGCTGCTGATGGTGAGAGTGAAATCTGTCCCAGATCCACTGCCACTGAACCTCGAAGGAACCCCAGGCTGCAAACTGGATGCAGCATAGATCAGGCTCCTAGTGGCTTTCCCTGGTTTCTGTTGGTGCCAGGCTAAAGCACTACCAATGCTCTGACTTGCCCGGCAAGTGATGGTGACTCTCTCTCCTACAGATGCAGATAGAAAAGTTGGAGACTGGGTCATCTGGATGTCACATCTGGCACCTGAGATTGGAAGTATAAAAACAAACATCCAGTCAGTCGATCATGTTATATGAGGACCTCCCTGAAGAGCAAGGCTGTATTGAGCACGCTGGTTGAGTAAATTCCTAGTGTTCTTCCTTACCTGGGAGCCAGAGCAGCAGGAGCCCCAGGAGCTGAGTGGGGACCTTCATGTCTATGCTGTGTCCTGACTGGGACTGAGTCCTGCACAGGGTGTGACCAGCCTATTAAGAAGTCTTCAGGGCAGGGGCTGTGCTGTGGGAACATGCAAATCAGCAGGGGATGGGGCAGGCTGGGCACAGTTGCAGGGCTGGCTCCTCTCTGAGCCAGTCCCTCGTGTCCCCAGTGTCCCAAGTCAGAGGGCCGCACAGATTTGTCTCTAAAGAACATGTTTCCTCTTGGGGCCGTTTTGTAAGAAATAACATTTTTTTTAATACTTGTCAACATTTGAAATACTCTTGAGTACTTGATGAAAGAAAGAATGTTTTCCATATGTGTATGGGGATACATTAGGGGAATATTCTTATTTGTAGGAAATTCTGTGCAGTTTTAGAGGGTGGGATCATCGAGTCTTAAATATATTCTGCAAGGGGGGGTACTTTGTGCTATAGGGGGGTACTTTGTCTATACTTACAACATTTCTGTGAGTATGAAATTATTCTTTCTTAAAAAAAAGAAAGAAAATTTTACAAGATAATGCTAAATATATTTGAAAGTATTTTGTAATGACTTAAGCCATTCTCACATGACTATACGGTCAAGCAATTCACTGCAAATGCATAAAATGAAACCACAAGTTCTCAAAGCCTGCATCACTCACAGATTCGCCATTACTTAATCCTATAAACCACCTCAATGCCCAGAAATTATATGAGCTGCATCTTATTTTTAGTTTGAGGATCTCCATATTTTACCCTTTGTTCTGCCATTGGGTGTTATTTCCCAGGGGTTCTCAGCATGAAGAGCTGACTGGTGATGTCAGATCTGATTAACTTCAAAAATAATAACTTGTTTCTTCCTGCATTTACCAGAACCTGGATTAGGATAAACTTGAAATTATCCAGGGATCAGTTGTCTTCACAAGTAGGAAGACCAAGATTGTATCCCCTAAGTAATGCTGAACTCCCTACCTGCATGTTCCTGGGGGTTCAGGTGCAGTTCCTTTGAATCACGGATTTCTGGAGAGCAGGTGATATAGACACTATGGAAAAAATAAGGACAGTGAGCCCTCTCTTCTAGGAGGGCAGCCGCTGCTCAGTGCATGTCCCTGCCTTGCACTATCAATGCCACTTTCCTCTTTGACTCTTCAGCAGTGAGTGGGAACGTCATCCTGATCCAGAGGCCAGGCTTCTGTCTCACATCTAGAACAGAGAGTTTCTACCTGCTAGCAAGCAAATTTCCATACATATGGAGAAATTACTTGGATCTCAATAAAACTGGTAACAGATTTGCACCCAATTATATCTCACATCTCTAACTGGGCTGAGAACCTGGGAACCAAAGGCTCTGCCCACAGGTCTGCCTCACAGGGGCTTCAGGGAAGGAAAGTGCTCACACACTCCTGGGCACTGCACCGAGGCCAGAGTCTGCTATCAGGGTGAAAGTCTCAAAGTCAAAAGTTTTACGGCTGGCCCCAAGCTCCTGGGGTGAGCTGCTCCCAACTCTGTTCTCACTGGTTCTCAATGACCAGAACCATGCTGGAGCCAAAGAGGTCAGCAAATGTCCCCAGGGTCCTGACAGAGCCTGATGCTGTTATAGCTAGAAGGAAAAAGGAGCACATGCTAAATAAATATGAAATTATGTGTATATGTATATATGCATTTGTAACAAACATGACATAATAAATATGTATAATATTATAGATGTAAATTGCAGTGATATCTTTGTATATACTATGCATATATATTATGAATAAATACTGTGAAAGAAAAATATCTTGGGCTCCCCAAATCACTAAACTAAAGGGAAAATTTTAACTGGGAACTGAATAGGGTAAACCTGCCTCCCATTCTTTTCAAAGTCACCCCTCTGCTCTCTGAGATAAATGCATATCTGTTTGCCTCCTCTGCAAAGGCTAATCAGGAACTCAAAATAATGCAATCATTTGTATCTCACTTACCTGTGACCTGGAAAGCCCCTCCCCACTTCCAGTTCCCTGCTTTTTACTTGGAGTTGTCCAGCCTTTCCAGAACAAACCAATGTTCATTTTACCTATGTTCATTGATGTCTCATATCTCACTAAATTGTGTAAAACCAAGCTATGTTCTGACCACATTGGAAACATGTCTTCAGGACCTCTTGAGGCTGTGTCATAGGTGTGTGTCCTAAACTTTGGCAAAATAAACTTTCTAAATTAACTGATACCTGTCTCAAATGTTCTGGGTTCACAATATAATATGTACTTTCATATAAATAGGCATATTTTTAATCATTGGTATAAAGTATGATGTTAAACTTTGACACATGAACACTGAAAACCAGCAAGGGCATGCCACCCCATGACTCCTTCTCACCACAGAGCCCTAGGGTCGTAAAGCTCAGGACCCTCCCTGATGTCCCCACTGAGTCAAACTGTGGCAGTCTAAGGTTGAGAATGCTGGGTGGCACTAGGGCAGTCTGGGGAGCACAGAGCTGCAAGTGCTGAGGAGAGAGGGGCAGTGGGTCTGGGCCCCCTGTAGAGAGACATTTTATACTAAGGATCAGCATGAGTAGTTCCTATCCTGGGGACTCCCATCAGACAGAGCAGCACACGTGACTCAGTGGCCGTGTTCACACACACACACAAATTTGATGGTCTTTGGCAGCCTCCCCTCTGACTGCAGCGATGTGGTATCTCTCTGACCAGCTTTTGTGGCCCACAGGACTGCCAGGACTCTATTCAGAATGGGCCTCCATGAAGGCAGCTTAGTTGCTGATGGCCAGAGTGACATCTGTCCATGTCCAGCACCCTTGACCCAGGCCTTGTATCCAGGGGGAATCATGAACTAGCAGAAGCTCAAAAAGGGCCTGGGTTCAGCTGTTGCCAGGTTAGGACACTGTTATTACTTTAACTGACCCTGCAGTTGACAGTGACCTCTCTTTTGGGACATGGGGCAAAAGGCTAGAGACAGGGTGCATACAATGTCCCCTCTGACATCTAAGTGGAAAGCAAACATGCGCATTGCAAAATATTAATTGCAAACAAGTTGTTCCTGCAGTTGATGTAATTCTAATCAGAAAGTGAAAAGGCTAATTACCTGATTGTGAAGAAAACATTTGTGTTTAATGCAACCAAACTGAGGGTGAAGCCTGAGTCCTCCCTCTTCACCAGAGAGTCTGACAGCAGCAGGAAGAGGAGCAAAGCTGGGTCTCCACGTCCACGAGGGCCTCCTGAGGCTGATCCTGCTCAGAGAAGGTTGGGACTGTGGGTGAGTCTGCTGGCACTGCAACGTCAAAGTCCCACAGGCTGGATGACTTAAACAATAGAAATTTATATTCACATTTCAGGTGGCTAGAGGTCTAAGATTAAGGTCCAACCAGGTACACATTCTCTTAAGGACTTTCTTCCTGTTTCATAGACAGCCATGGAGAAAAGGAGATGGGGCTTGGGGAGAGAGAGGGAGAAGCAGGGAGGAAAGAAAGAGAAGAGCTCTCTGGTTTCTCTTCTGATAAGAAAATTAATTCTATTGGAAGGGGTCTCATGCTTAGGACCCCCTTTAGCCTTGTCTACCTCGATCATCTCCTGCAGCTATGCTGGGGGTCAGGGCCTGACTTCCAGTCTCAGCACAGTGCAGATTTCCCCCACAACTCAGCACCCTGGCAGCTCCTCCCAGGGGCTCTACATCACACATGAGATTCTGTTCCAACCTAAGGGCTCCCTGTTGACAGTGAGAC